ATCCCTTTTCTTCCCATGGGAGTAAATTTCTTCCTTGCTTTTTGCCTCCTGCAAAAAGGTATTCCCCTTAGTCCCTTGCAGTCGGCTCTGACTAATACCCACAGCTTGCAAAAAGTAGTAGCATAGCCCCTTGCTTCATTTCCAGCAAAGAAACACCCTCCAACAGGTACAACAGCTAAGCCTCAGGTTGAAGGTAACTTTGCTTTCTTTCTGAGCAAATGAGTGGGTGGGCATTTGCTTTACATCTGGGTGCCAAAAGGGCATACCCAAGGACCGTCCCTGAGCACAGATCAGGCTAGTCAAAAGTTAATGGCTCCACTCAACAGTACTTCTCTCCTCCTTCACCTGCCACTGCTTCCTCCAAGTCCCAGCTTCTCTCCCAAGACACCTTCTGGACCAGCTCTCTGCCTCCAGAACTCTCCCCTCTCCTGCCTTTGGGATCCATCATAACATAGGCCTTCGCCCATGCCTCACCAGGAGCACTTGACAGGCATCATCTATTTTCCACACAATTTTGACCAAAGAGGCCTCCAGGTCCTGGGCAGAGCTCTTGGTGTACATCTTAGGAGAAATCCTTTTAATTTTTTTTCTGGACAGCCTTGTGTGGTTTGAAGTCTCTTTCAGGTTCATTTGTTTATTTAATGCTCACAACAGTCCTGTTATCCCTGCTTTTTGGGTGAGGAATGTAAAGCTGAAAGATAATGACAATGCTCTGTTCTAAGAGTTTTTTTGTGGCCAGGCATGGTGGGTCCATGCCTGTAATCCTAGTGGCTCTGGAGGCTGAGGCAGGAGGATCCCAAGTTTAAAGCCAGCCTCAGCAACTTATCGAGGCCCTCAGCAACTTAGTGAGACCCTGTTTCTAAATAAAATATTTTTTTAAAGGGCCAGGGATGTGGCTCAGTGGTTAAGTGTCCCTAGGTTCAATCCCCAGTACCAAAAAAAAATTTTTTTTTTGTATATTACCTCATTTAATTCTTGCAACAACCCACCATCATTCTCATCCCAGAGATGGAGTCACTGACCCAGGTGTCAGAGCTGGGTACAACCCTGGTATTTGAGCTGTTCCCTGAGCCACTCCCTACCCTGCCTCAAGCTAATCAGATGACTTGCCTAAGATTACCTAGTTGGGACATCATGGGACCAGGAGTCCATCCAAATCTTCCTAGCTCTGCAGCCCAATTTCTGAACCCCAACACCATGCCACTTAATGGCAGAAATCCTTCGTTAGAGCTGTCACCCTTGATGTATCAGAACTTTGGTTCCCTGTGCCTGCCCAAGCTCCTTCTATATGCCCACCCTTGGCAGCTGCTGAAGACCAGGCAGTAGAAGACCCCAATCCTCGAACTGAGAACGTCAGAGAAGGGAGGGCCCTTGAGCTCCCTATCCAGCCTCTCCTCCTCTCTGTATTTGGAGGAAAGAGAGAAACTAAGGGCCAGAGTAGAACAGTAATATGTGCCCAAGATCACAGGACTAGTGTGGGCACAGTCCACTTGAGGGAAGAGGTCCATCCAAGGATCAGGCCTAGGTACCCCCAAAGGCATCGTCACTACAGGGAATATTTAAGAGCTGTGATTCTCACAGTCTCTTCAAAGGTCCATATTGGGTCTATTCACTTGTGAATTATTAACAAGCCCAGTTCTGTATCCTGCTGGGTAGGGCTTATTCTCTCCAAGAAAACCAGTTTTACAATCACCAACACAGCCCCATTGGGAAGGCTCTGGAGTCAGTGGTGGATCTGGGCTGGCACAGACCACAGGGGTTGGGAGGGGCACTTTGTGCCAGGAAGGGCCTTGGGGAAGGGACTGAAATGAGGATGGGGACAAGAATCACCCAGATAATGCTCACTTATCATTCCAGCACTCCTGAGAGTGATGGAAGGAGGGAAGGCAGAAAGCAGGAAACAGGCGTCCTGACAGGGGAGGAAGGGATCCACGACTCAGGATGCTGTCAGCTCAAGGTCACGGGTGGCTGGATGGATGATCAGAGTAGAGTTACTGTGTTGGGAGGCAGAAACAAGGATGATGACTCACAGGCTCCCCTGGGCTGGGACTGGGCAGCTCCTAGGGGTGGGGAATGGGCCAGGTGGGGCCTTCCTGAGGGTGGGCCAGTCCATGCTCTGACTCACCAGGTGAGTGGGCATCACGATACTGGGTTGGCTTCAGTATCGTTGCCACCATGGTGGTGTGAGGAGTGTTCCAGCTGTAATGGCAGCCATGCTGCTTACCTTGCAGAGCTCGGTTTGCATCTGTAAAATGGGGAGCACAACATCTAGCACACTACCACCGTTACTGGGTACTTATGCAGCACTATGTTACATGCCAGGTCCTATTCTGGGTACTGTGCATACATAAATTCTTAATTCTTACAAAAGCCCTTTGATGTAGGCAGTATTATTATTTCTATTTTACTGATGAGGAAACTGAGGCTCTATCTAGTTAGAAATGAAAATTAAATGAGATAACTCATGTTACATATTTAATACCATGTGTGGCACTTAAGAAGCTTTTGATGTGCATCAGCCATTGTTGCAATAATTACCTTAGAGGTAATTACTTCCTTAGGGAAACTATAAAGTTCTGGACCTAGTGTTCATGTCTGGTGATTAGTCAGGCAACACCAGCTGTCAGGCGCTGAAACACACAGATGAATCTGACCAGGCCCTGCCCTCAAGAGTGTCCCGTGGTGGGGGGAATTAGGATTGGTCAGAGCAGGTTAAGGCAGTGGGTGCCCAGGATTCCCAGCCCAGCCTGAGAGGGAGGGCTTTCTGGAAGAGGCAGTATCTGAGTAGAAACCTGTAGGGTAAGGAGGAGTTTGGGCATTAGCATGTTCTTAATACATGTTGGTCAAATACCGTGAAGATCTACCTTGGAGCTAATGTAGCTTAAAACTTCAGGATCTCTTCCTCACCTGCCTGGCATCTTCTGAGGCTCCAAGGAGGATCCTAGCAATTTTCTATTAGTAAATTTGTATGATTTTTTTTTTTTTTTTGAAAAGAGGCCTCCCAATAGTAAGCTTCTGGATCCATCCCTGGTCACATGAATGGATAATAAGTGACAAGGAAGGGACATATCTTCTAGGGAAAGGAAACAGCATGGGCAAATACGTGGAGATTTGAAAGTGCATGGCATGTAACAGCCTCCCAGCCTCATCACCTGGGACTTGTCTTTACAACAAATTGCTGGTCTTGTCACAGCCTCCAAACTCCAGCTGTCACCAATGTGCCCTTGCCACCTATATGTTTTCATGCATGTTGTTCCCTTACCTGGTACACTTGCTCCACAACTTCATTAATAATATAACTTCAAAGCTCAGCTCTGACCCCACCTTCTCCAGAAGGCCCCCTGACTCTCCTCATCTGGATTCCTTACAGTTTCGTGTGGATGTCATTATAGACTGCTCCTTGTAGTTAATTATCTTTTTTATGCCTATATATGAGACTGCAGAGGTGGGATGATTCTTGGAAGTAAGCATCTGCCCTCTGCTTACACATGAGCTGGAGGGGAACTCACTGCCTTCCCAGGAAGCTTGTTTAATGTAAGCAATAATCCCACAAACCTCTCCCCACTACAAACAGCCTGCCTGGCTCCTCTGGGATCTAGTCCAAGTCTTCTTCCCACCCTGGTTGCTTTTGCAGACTGCCCCCTCCTGTTTCCTCCTCTGACATCTAGGAACTTAACCTGATCTAGGGGAAGTGGAGTCCCTCCTTCTCCTGTCCCCAGCCTATGTGAAGGGACAGCTCTAATGGCAGCCACGTGCTGTGATGAGTCATGATTAAGAGCATCTGGGACCCAGAGGTGGTGGCTGGTTAACTCCTGATGGGCTAGAACTTTCTCTGCCAGGAGATCAGGTCAGTTCAACCCTGGGCTTACATACCCACCTGAGGCCTAGATGCACAGTGGACACCTGGAGAGTGACCCCACACACAAGCATTGAGAATAAAAGAGAGAACCAGTGGGGACTGGCACATGAGCTCCAGAGTCAGAAGGGCTGGGTTCCAATCGCAGCTTGTCACATATTAGATGCGTGCTCCGGAGCCAATCACAAGAACCCTATGCCTCAGTTTCCACATCTGTAAAATGGCAATTATGGAGATTGAGAAGACTAGTGTGAGCTGCCCACTAGCAGTGAGTGCTAAAATCGCGTTATTTCCCGCCTTCTGGTCTCCTACAAACATACTCGATGGGCATGTGTTTGGGATTAAAATTCAAGCCTGACTCTGGAGGCTGTGTCTTTCTCCGCATGAATGCCCCCATTAATGTTGTAGGACACCAGAGGCTCCGGTGGGAGCCGCTGCGGGGCGGGAGCTGTGGGGGAGGGCGAGTGACAGGAAGGAGGACCTCAGGTCTAGGAGAACTTTCTAACTCAGGTGGGGGCGTCTGCGGAAGGAGCGAGCGCTGGGCTGGGCGGGGTTTGCGCACAGAATCTGTGGCCGGGGTCGCACCTGTCCGGGGTGGGGGTGGGGACCCTCGCGCGGGCCGAGCGAAGGCAGGCCCCGCCCCAGCCCTGCCCCAGCTCCGCGCGGCTGGGGGTGGCCGTGGCCCCACTGCGCTGGTGGGCAGACCGAGGCCCGGCCCGGCCCGGCCCCGCCGCCTTCCCCGCCCCCGGCGCGCCCCTCCCCGGCCGCCGCCTCCGTGGCTCGGCTGCACAGCGCGGGGCTCCGGGATCCGGCGGCAGCACCTGGGCCGCTGCTGGCCTCCGGCGGGGGCAGCGCCGCTCGCCCCCCTCGGCGATGACCACGGCCGGCGCCCCGGGCGCCCTGCCTGCGGGGTAAGTGCCCGGCGGGCGGCCCCGGGGGCGCGGGCCGGGGCGGGGACGTGCGGGGGCCCGCGCCGAGCCTCCCCGCCGCGCCCGCGGCCCGCACTGCGGCTGTCGCCCCTGACGGGCGCGCAGTCCCCCGCCCCGCTGCCTCTGGGGCGGCCCGCGCCGGGATCCGCGAGGGGGCTGCGGAAACTGCCCCAGGGGACCCTGGGTCGGCCACTCCCCCTCTGGGTCCCAACTTTCTCACGGAGGTGTAGTCAGAGCCATGTTTGCAGGAGCCTGCTCACCAGCCGCGTGGCGTTGGTGTCTGGGTGGGCCTGTGACCATCCCCCCCCCCCGCTAAGATGAGGAAACTGAGGCATAGCTCTTTATCTGACTTGTCTTCGCTCCTCCCTGAGGTAAGAGTTGGGACGAATTCTGTCTGATGTCAGAGCTCCCACCCACGTCATCTTCAGTGATATTGGGTGGACTTAAAGGGCTGTGTGTCCAACCCGGCCCAGGGGTCGTAACAGGGTTGTAAAAGGTGGGCGTTGGCACTATCAACAAGGCTGCCTTGCCCAGCCCTACCCCCACCCACTGAGGACTCCTGTGGGACCTCCACATTGCCCCTGTAGCAGTGACAGCTGCTTGCTGTCCAGAGACCTTCCGCAGCTCTGCCTTTCCTAAGCCCCGGTGGGTAGGGGCAGCTGCGGGGATTTCTGGCTGCTGGCAGGTTGCTGGGCAGAGATCGAACCCCAGGTGAGCTGGAAGCTATGCCTGCCCTGCTTGGAGCCTCACTACCGGTGACAATATTTGCCAAGGGCCTGAGGCCTAACAAATGAACAGGGAAGTTAGGAACCTGGTGCCATCTGGGCAGCTGGATGCCCCCATAGGGCCTTTGTGTGGGGCTGGAGTATAAGAGTTCAGAAGCTGGGTTGCTGGTGAGGGATGCCTGGTAAGTTTTGCCTTTATCATTTTTGTTATATGACTTTGGCCACGTTCTTTACCCTCCCTAAATTTTTCGACCCACCTTTGGAAAATATGGGGAGGCTGGGCCACCTACTCCCTTCCTGCTGAGGGCTGAAGTCCTTGTAAATCTGGAGCTTGCTTAGGTCCCCTTCTGCCCAGCTCTGACTTAGCACCACCCCCCTGGGTCTAGAAAAGTGATTTCCTGGAGAGTATGCAGGCATGGAGCAAGGCTTCCATGAAAGAATCCTAGACTTTGGGACTGAAATCCACATTCATCCCTCTTCTTTATACCACCACATCCATGCCTGAGTCCCCTCCACAACCTCAGGCTCCTCTGGGCCTGCTGTGGGATTCCAGGGCAGCAGGCTGGCTCTTCTAGCACTGGCAGACCTTCCTCAGACTGACCACATCTGCCTCCCTGCAGTCCTGCCATGGCCTACTGTTCTTTGAGGTCATGTAGGTCTATCTGCCCCTGCTTTGGTCAGAGTCATCCTCATGAGATCTGATCAGTTGAGGCCCAAATCAGAACTATCTCCACCTTCTCTGTGGACACTAATTCAGTCACTCATCAAATAAGACCTCTCTTGGGCCCAGCCCTAGGCAGGATGGTCAGTGGTGAACAAAGTAAGCCTCAAATCTCTACCACTTTAAAAATTATAAAATATTTTTAAGCCTTTGGAAGAAGATAGCAAATAATAAACTGAACTCTTATTTTTTGTCACCCAACTTTGTCAGATATTATCACTGTGCCCCATTTAATTCATGTTCTTTTTTTTTTTTTTAAGAAATAAACCATGGATATGTCAAGAAATTTGTAATGTTTTGAACAACCAACAATAAAAAATTAAAAAAAAATAAAATAAAAAAAAAGAAATAAACCATGGAAACCTCTGTGGACACTCCTTCCCTCCTTCCCTCTCCAGAGATAATTGCCATCCTGAATTTTGGTTTTTTCATTTCCCCGTTTTCATTCTTTTGCTGAATATATGAAATGCTAAATGGTAGGTAGGTGTTCTTTAAAGTGGAGTCATAGCATGTGTTGTCCTGCAGCTTTTTCCTCATTCAACGTCAGGTTTCTGAGGTTTAGCCTTCTTGATCATGTGACTCTGGTTGTCCTTGCCCTGATATATGGTACACCACCCTGTGTAAAGACTCACATTTATTTACTTACCTTTCTTGTTGGACATTGAGGTGGGTCCCCATGTGTTACTGTTCAAATACTGAATATTCTTGTACAGGTGTCCTTTGCGCATGTGTTTCTCTGGAATGTCTCTTAATAGTAGAATTGCCAAGTCATAGGTATGTACTCAATCTTTTAAAGTTATTTAGTTTTATTATAAAATCAGTGCTGCTCAGTAAAATAAATGATGGCAATATATAATGTTAGGAAAAAGTTATAATTGCTGATCTTTTCTGAGTACTTCCTATTGTGCTTTACACAATCTCATTTTTTACTACAATACAAGGAGGTAGATCCTGTCATTCCCAGGCCATTGACGAAAAAACTGAGGCTCATAGAGGTTAAAGAACTTTCTCAGGTTTTTGCAGTAAGTTATTGCTGAGACGCAGCTTGAGTCCAAGGGTTATGTGCTTTTAAAATGCTTAAAGGCCACCTTGTTATGCCACAGGGCACTCGCTTTATGTGCATTTAAGGGGTCTCTGGAAGGAGTTTAGAAATATCTCTTTGGAAGTGGATATGTTACTTCACTCGTGGCGCCAAAGTCCCCCTCTCCCATGATGGAGCAGGGATTAAAAGCCACTTCTGGCTCCAGAATGCTTCTTGAGTGACTTCGCCTCCCTGCCCCACATCCACCTCACCCTGACTGAGGTTGGGATGGGAGCTTTTTAGCTGGGGCTGAGGATCTTCTAGCTACCCCACTCTGTCTCTGCCTATGAAGCACCAGGGTAGCAGACCAGGTGACAACAGATGGGAGGTGGGAGGCAAGAGGAGAGCAGGGAGGTGGCTCCAGGCTGCCTGATGCCCCCTTCCACTCTGTCCAGTTCCTATCTCATGTGGGCCTTAAGTGGATGGGATCTGAATGGGAAAGCCCCACCAAATTCCTGAAGTTGGTCACCAGCCCTGCTCCATTCTTCACCCAACCCTGTGCTTCCCTTGGCCACCTTCCTCACCTTCTCATCCTTGTCTCAGTGTTCCCAAGGAGATGGCCCCTCATCACAGACCCATCACCTGCTTACCTGAAGGTGCCCTAAAGGAGAGTGGCCTTGAAGACACAGCCTATGAGAAGGAGGGGCCTCTGTCACAGTCAGGCCAGGGGAAAGACTTGGAGCACTGAGATGCAGAAAGCATTTGTCTTTTCCCAGCTTCATGGGAGGGGCCAGACCTTGTTTCCGCTTCTGGGCCTTCCCTCCTTCTTATCTGTCAGTACAGATAAGAGTGCCTGCTAGCCGGAGGATTGAGTGAAATAATGCAGTCTCCAATTTAGATAAAACTTGAATGATATTCTCTTGGTGGTGGATGGTGTTAATGCTATTATTAAGTTAAGTGGGGCCAGTGTCTCTCTTTCCTGAGCTCCCCAGTCAGGCCCCGTCTCACCTCTCTATTTAGCTGCCTTTTTGGAGCCTCTGTCTTCCAGCCCTTTGAGGCTGCTTAGCCCCCTAACTGCTGTACAGGTGTAGTGTCTCCAGCCCTTTTCGCACATTGTCCCTTCTTGCACTTCTTTCTCCGTCATATCTGCAACTCTGCACCATCTGTCCCAAATAGCTTTCTTGAGTGCCCCAGGCTGGGTTGGAGACCTCCTCTGGGCCTCTTCAGTTCCAGTGATCCCCATGATTATAGCCCTGATCAGGATGACTATCACTGTCTCCACCTGCACCTGTTGCTCCTACAGACTATGAGCTCAAGGGCAGGCCCAGGTCTGGGCCTTCTCTGTGTTCCCAGAGCCTAGCCCCACGCTTGGCCCAGAACAGGAGCTCAGTGGGTATTTATGGGAATGAAGGAAGGGGGAAATCATCTGGAGGAAGGAAAGTCACTGACCAGCCTCATTCCAGTTAAGCCAAAGAGGTGCCAGGGTTGCCAGGGGGACAGATATGCATCTCTGTACTGTTTGTCCCTCAGGCTGTGCATGGACAGGTGGGCAGAACCTCTTCTTGGTGGGGGATGGAGGGAGTAGGGTATGTGTGCATAAATGGGAGTTAGGCTCTTGGCTCTGGAATTAAGACATGGACATAAACCATAGCAATGGACTTGGTTCCCTGAGGCTGAACTGATATGCCTTGGCTCAGGAAGAAACTTGGGTTGGAACTCACATGTGGGTGTGTCACCTTGGACAAGTCACCTCTGAGTCTCTGTTTCCTCATTTGCAGTGTTCGTGTCTGTTTGGCGAAGGGAGCGGGGTGGTAATAATCCTATTGCACAGAGCATTTTGAGAGTTCAAGGAGAGAGTGCTGTTGAACATCCAGGGTAGTAGGTGCTCAGTGCCACCTTGTTGATTCATTCATCCAACAAAGCTGAATGGATTGAGCATTAGTTGGCAGGCTAGGCCCAGGGCACAAAGGAAGATAGACACATCTAGGCCTTGTGAGGAGAGGGCTGGGGCAGCTTAGGGTGGGACTTTTTAGACCATGAAAAGGAACTGGGTCTTTGCCTTGAGAGGATGGGGAACCAGTGAAGGATTTGAAGTCTAGGAGTGACATGGTCAGATCTGTGGTTTTTTTTAAATATTTATTTTATAGTTGTAGTTGGACATAATAACTTTATTTCACTCATTTATTTTTTATGTGGTGCTGAGAATCGAACCCAGGGTCCTGCTCCTACGAGATGAGCGCTCTACCGCTGAGCCACAACTCCAGCCGTAGATCTGGGTTTTAAATGGACATATTTGGCTATAAAAAAGGGAGAGATTAGAGGGAATAATGTTTCAAATATTCTGCCTCCAAAAAAACTACCTGGAGGATGGATGGGTTATACCAATCACCCTTTATGACACCTTCTGAGCTCCCTCAGTAGAAGCAGATCCACTCAATCCAAGAACAAAGAGGGAGCTAGAGTCAGGCTGGAAATGAAATGAAGCCACAGCAACCTTAGGGTCCTTGCAGATTCAGAAACCTAGACCTGTCAATGCCAACAGCCACACAAGGGATGGGAGATGAGGTCTTAAGCCTGCGCAGGTACAGAAGTATGAGGAATTAGCACATAGTCTTCCTCCCCTTCATAAATGTGGGACCCTAAGGCCTTCAGTCTCAGTGACTAGGAGGATGGGCCAGAAAAAAGATCATCCACCAGAAAAGGGAGACAACAGTTCTGGTGGGAAAAAAGGGTTCTCTAGAAAATTCTAAATATTCATCTGCCATGACACAAATGCTGGGTTTGAATGCATACCACTTTTGTGGTCCTAGAATTCATAAATTAGAAAAGTGACTTAAGTGGTCTCAGGGTGTCAGTGCCTCAGGGAGCTTGGCTGGAGTAAATGGAAGTCCTTTTTGGAGGGATGTGCCCTTGTCCCAAGGTCCCTTTGACAATGATGAATTCATGTTTAAATTTTAAAATACACAAGGAAACAAGCCATTATGATCAGCAGATATCAGGAACAAATAGTAGTTTATCTGAGAGTCTTAAATGCTAGAATTATCAGATACAGAATATAAATAATTGTGCTTAAGAATTGTGGAGACATTGATGCCAGGTGTGGTGGCACATCCTTGTCATCCCAGCTGCTAGACAGACTGAGGCAGAATGATCAGGAATTCAAAACCAGCCTCAACAAAAAGTGCAACACTAAGCAAATCAGTGAGACCCTGTCTCTAAATAAAATGCAAAATAGGGCTGGGGATGTGGCTCAGTGGTCAAGTGCCCCTAGTTCAACCCCTAGTCCCTCCCCCCAACCCCCCACCAAAAAAAAATTGTGGAGATGTTCAAACAGGCATAGTGATGCATGACTGTAATCCCAGCAATTCAGGAGGCTGAAGCAAGAGGATCTCAAGTTTGAGACCAGCCTCAGCAACTTAGTGAGACCCTGTCTCAAAATAAAAATAAAAAGAACTGGGAATGTGGCTCAGAATAAAGTACCACTGGATTCAATCCCCGGTACCCCCTCCCCCCAAAAATATATAGAAATTGAAGAAGAACTTGAAACAATAAGATAAACAGGTAGCAAAATACTATCTAAAATATCCAAAACATACTTGAAAAAGAACCAAGAAGAATTTCTGGAAAGGAAAAATATAATAATCAACATGAAAAAAAACCAGTATCCTGGACAAATAACAAACAGATCAGACACACCTGAAGAAGGAAGTCGTGAAATGAAAGACCTAAAGAAAGTATTCAGAACCTAATAAGTCAAATGGATAATAAAGAAGCAAGTTGAGAGACATGAAATGTGGAATAAAAACTGTCTAGCTGAGGGGCCGGAATTGCTTGCCTAGAGTGTGTGAGGCACTGGATTCAATTCCATATAAAAATAAAAACAAATAAAATAAAGGTATTGTGTTCATCTACAACTAAAAAAGTATTTTTTAAAAATTTTAAAAAAGGGAGAAGGGGTAGGAAGTGATCGGAACAGTCTTGGGTAAAGATGATAGAGACTTGGGCCAGAGGCCACTGGGCATGGAAAGGGGTAGGTAGGGTTTTTCTTGGTGGTGGTGGGGTACTAGGGACTTAACCCAGGGGCACTTAATCATTGAGCTGTATCCCTAGCCTGCTTTATTTTTTGAGACAAGATCTTCCTAAGTGCTTAGGACCTCCCTAAATTGCTGATGCTGCCCTCAGACTCACAGTCTCCCTGCCTCAGCCTCCCAAGTCTCTGGTATTACAAGGCTGGGGCATCATGCTGGACAAGAGGATGGTTTTGAGACATTTAGGTAGTATAGTTGATAGTGTTTAGTGATGTAGTGGATGATGGAGGCCTGTGAGAGGGGTGTGTCAAGGATAACTGTCAGATTTCTGGCTTGAGAAACTGGGCAGAGGTGTGTCACTTATTAAAATGGCAGAACTGAGGGAGAACATATTTGGGAGAATGAATGGGAGTTTAAACGGGACACATCTCATTTTGCCTGGGAAGATCTGATGTATGGAACAGGAAGCACTAGAATTGGGCCTCAAGGTATAGGTAGTTTACTTGGTGGAGAAGAGGTTTTCTCTTTACTATTTTTTTGGAAATAGGAATTCCCTTCAATTATATCACTGAGCTCCTTTCTGGAACCTTCCTTCACTCACAAGAGCCCTTGAGAAGAGGCATTCTCAAGATTATCAGTTAGACTTCTGGGATCTTTCTCATTTCACATCTTATTTTTTAGATGGGAATACTGAAGATCAGAAAAGTTAGGAATTTGTTTTCCTAGTTTTTTACTCCCCTTTTTTCTTTCATTCATTCACTTCACATATGCGTTAAAAGCCTACTTTGTGCCAGATCCTAAGTGCTGGGGATAGAGCAGTGATCAAAACTAAGATTCCTGTCTTTTAGTGCTTGTATTTTTGTGGAGAGAGAGAGACAGACAGACCATAAACACAAAAATATATCACATATGAGAGAAGATAAGGACCTCAGAGAAATGTGAGAAGTGGGGAGGGCGGGTATGTGGAAGGTGTCATTGGGAAGGTGAGACTGCAGTATGGAATGCCCCGGGCTGCTTTTACGGGTCTGCTGCCCTCCATGGCCCATTATGACAGTGTCTGGGGTTCTAGAGTGCAGGCCTGAGAGACAGGAGGAGGCCTGGAGAAGGAGGGACAGAAGTGGGACTTAGTGGGTGAGCTGCACCCCCCCAGGGGGGCAGCAGAGCCCAATGGGTCAAAAAGGCCACAAGGATTCCCACTGCTCTTGTGGAGGGTAAGATACATTTATTCCGAGGTCTTCTTGCTGTCTATTCTCAGCCCCTCCCCCACCCCTCCTGAAGATCTCAGATGTCACACACGCTTTTGCTCCTCCTCTCACCCTTGGAGACATTGAGAAGTGGGTCCAAATTGTCTCTTCATTCCAGTACAGAGTGGGCAGCCTGGAAGGGCTTGGGAAAGATATTCAAGGCTAACCAGAGAGGTAGTTGGCCAGGAGGAGCTGAGGCCCATCTCTCTCCCCTCAGGACTCCTGTGAGCAACCTCCATGAGGCCCTGGACCAGTGCATGACGGCCCTGGACCTGTTCCTCACCAACCAGTTCTCAGAAGCACTCAGCTACCTCAAACCCAGGTGAGCTTAAGCCCCAGTGGGGGTGAAGGGCAGAGCTGCGTGTGCACATGCGTGTGCAAATGTGTGTGTAGGGATGGGGCATGTTGGTCATGGAGAACCAGAGGTCTTGTATGAGAAGAACCTCATGTAACTCAATGCCTTCAGCTTTCTGGGTCACCGTGACCACTGAGAAGTCCCATAAAATGGCTCAGGCTCCCAGTCCCTGAGCCTTTGAGCAGCCACCATAGAGACCTCTCTAAGGTCGCTATGACTTATTCACTTCTTCCCACTTTACCTCTTATTCCTGCTGAGTCCATTGTGGCTTCTTCTCTCCATCGGCTTTGCTTATTTTCCCCGCAGTTGCCTACTTCAAGATCAGTAGGGTAATAATGAGCACTGATCTTTTAATCAATTTCCCCAGTGTTTGCTGCCTTATTTCTTGATAATATGTCTACACTGCTTTTTCTTATCATTTTTTTCTTTGTCTTTAAAACTGAGATATAATTCTCATTTCATGAAGGTCACCTTTTTTTTAAACTTCTGATCCCACACTTTGATTATATTCTTTATTTGCTGTTTCTCTCTCTTTTTTTTAAATGGTTCTTTTTAGTTATACAGAACAGTAGAATCCATTTTGATATTCATACAACCATGGAATATATCTTTTGAAAGTCACCTTTTTTTACTTACTACTTTTTGAAAAATTTGTTCTAATTACTTATACATGACAAGCAGAATGCATTTCAACTCATAGTACACAGATGGAGCACAATTTTTCACTTCTCTTTGTACCCAAAGTAGAGTCACACTTTACACATTTATCCTTAACTCTACCAGTTGATCCTATCATGAGTTTTTCCCTATATGTCCAAATACCAAGTGAGCTCTCAGTCCCTGTTCTTCCTGGAAACCTGGATATACATGTCTCCTGGCCACCTCCCAGCTACCTGCCCCCCCAGGCTCCTGTTGCCTCTCTCCTGATTCCTTGAACCCAGCTCGTTCTCTCACATATTCTACTGGATTTTTCCAGAATATGCCCTCTAGAAATTTCCTAACAAAGAGTTGCATGAACATAACATTTTTTTCTATCAGAAGTTTGAAGGTATCACTCCCCTGCTTTCTGTCATCTTCTGTCTCTCTGAATCCTAATTCTACTTTTCATGTGATCTTTTTTCCTTCTCTAGAAATGTTTAGGATCTTCCCTTTTATTCTTGAAAATCTGGGATTTCACAGTGATGTGCTAAAACAAAGGTCTTTTTTTATCCCATATTATTTTTTGGAGACTCAGTTCTAGGAAATTCCCTCTATATTCTGTTTCTCTTTCCTGACTTTATTTAGATCAATCCTCTTCTAAGGCTCTTATCTCCCGTTCCCCTTTCTGATTCTTTCTCGTTTTCTTCCTCCAATTTTTGGGAATTTCCTCAGTTTCATTATTAAGTCCTTCTATTGACTGCTTCTACAAGTACATGATAATTTTTTAGTATTCTGTATTGTTCTGTGGATCTTCTTTTTTTTTTTCCTATAACGTCTTATTCTTGATTTGTGGACCTGTTGTCTTCTTTATAGCTACATTTGGAATGTGAGGTTCCATATGACAGAGCCTGACATAGTAAGCTTTCTAACTTATCATTGTTGTTGTTATCATCACAGCTTATTATCCCTTTTCAAAATGCTCTATTCTTTTCCCAGGATCTTTATTCTTTTCATATGATATTGGCTTCTCCAGTTTCCTGCATTCATTTAATGGTGGGAACCCTTCTCTCATGGGGTATTTTCTCAGATACCTGATGATCCCTAGTCATAGTTAACAGTAAATTCACTCAAAGGCCAGCTGGAAAACCTGTACCAAGTAGCCTTGTGATTGGTGAGATCTGGAAGAGAGCTGCTGGCCCCCAGATGTCAGCATCTGGTGTGGTCCAGTTTCCTGAAAAGAATCCTCCATTTCTAAGCCTGGACAGAGAACCCAGGGCTGCCTGAATTCTAAGGTGGGGGGAGGAGGCTGGGGTCCAATCATGTCATCTGCCTATTTTCCTTAATCTCCCTCTCTTCAGTCCTACGATATCCTCTATATTGCTATACCCAGTTCCCCAGATCCCAGGAAAGCCAATGCCCAGGCAGGCCCACTGGTTTCTACAAGTCCCCAAGCCTGATCTGTTCACTTTTTTAAAAATATTTATTTTTTGGTTGGGCACAATATCTTTATTTATTTATTTTTATGTGGTGCTGAGGATCGAACCCAGGGCTACCACTGAGCCACAATCCGAGCCCTCTGTTCACTTTTTCTGGAGTTGACTGGCTCATCATTCTGTTTTCTGGGCTCAGGGTCCCAGCTTCTGGGGTGTGGTGGGGGATCCAGGATGTGATGATCAGAATGAGTCTTTCTGGTAACTATTCCTCATTCTCACCCTCTGAGGGACTCAGGTGACCCAGTCATCCTGCTCCATTGTCCAGGTTTCCTTCCCAATAGTTTTTGTTTGTTTTTTGTTTTGAGGTACTAGGAGTTGAACCTAGGGATCCTCTACTACTGAGCTACATCTCTAGTCTTTTTTCCAATTTTTTATTTTGAGGTAAGCTCTTATAAAGTTGCTGAGGCCGGCCTTGAACTTGCAATCCTCCTCCCTCAGCCTCATGAATCTCTGGAATTACATCATGTGCCACTGCACCTAGCCCCTTCCCAACAGTTTTGGAAGGCTACTTGCTCTCAATTCCCTCCTGGTCATTTCCTGTCTCCCATTTCCTGGACCCCAGACCATAGCCACCTCCTGCACTGGAAATTGGCTATCTCAGGACTCTACTGCCACACACCAAACATTGACACTGGCCTTTCTCCTCATCCCCTGAGGCCTAGCGAACACCAGGTCACACCTTGGTTTAACTCTGGACTGTCCTGTAGACTTGGGGCCAACAGAAGAGAATCAGAGCATGGGGGGGGGAAAAAAAACCCACTAAAATCACATGGCATGTTACACCCAGGCCCTCAATGAACCTACCAAAAGGTCCTGAGGAGGGATTTTTCCCTCCTCCTCTCCCTCACCTCAGGGAAGCACTCCAAAGACAAAACCCTCACTCTAAAGGAGGTACCCTAGAGAATCAGTCTTCCCAGGAGGCCCCTCTTACCTTGCATGTAGAGCAGGGTAGCCTCTGTGCCTCAGTGCTTTCCCACAGGTGATAGTATCAATAGCATGCTCTCCCTACCCTGCCTTGTGGCAACCAAAAATGTCTCCAAAATTGCCAGAAGTCCCCAGGGGAGCAAATTATGTCCCACCTGTGATAGCCAAAAAAAAAAAAAAAAAATCTTTAGAACTTGCCAGATGTCCTTGAGGGGCATGTTATGGGGGCAAAAAATACCTCAACACTGAGAACCACTGGTTTAGGGAAAATGATTCTTGCTAAAAAGCAGTCCTGGTCCCCATTTGTAACCTCTGAAGCTTCAGGAGAGGTTAGGATTCAATTTCACTGTCACATGTTGTCTTGTTTAATTGTCTGCCTTAGCTATAGGGGATGTTATCCCTCTTTTACTCCCAGGGGAAGTCACTATGTTTACCAAGCTCCCTTCCTACATCTGTTCTGCTAATCTCTGGTACTTAGCTCTATGTCCGTCTCAAAGCATTGTCTCTGGAACATGGAGTCTACCCTGTTAATTTTTCTCGATAAATAAGTGATCATGGTTCATAAGTGGCAGAGCTGGGATTAAATTCAGGGCCACCTGGCCCATAGGCCCCACTCTGACCACTGTGCTCTCTTGGGTCTTGGCAGGGTGGAGGCGGTCACCTTGCATAGGAAGGCCTCATGCTGCCTCTCCACCAGGAGGAGTGAAGAGGTAGGAAAGGGTGCGCACAGACCTGCATGTGCCTGGGCACAGGAAGTTCAGGGTGCGTCCATGTGGACATCCTGGAATTTCTCCAAGAGAAAGGTCACTTGTTGAGACTTGAGACTAAGGGGTCAGGTCCCAGCAGGGGAATAGTGAAACCAACCATAAGCTTGCTGAGAGCTACACAGGGACCCCAACTCATGTGGGGGTCAGGAAGGCTTTGGTGCCAGCTGCATAATTTCTTTCTTTTCCATTTTTTTTTTTTTTTGTGTGTGTGTGTGCATGCCCACGCACTGGAGATTAAATCTAGGAGCACTTTATCACTGAGCCACATCCCCAGCCCTCTTATTTTATTTTTTATTTTGAGACAAGGTCTTGTTAAATTGCTTAGGGCCTCACTATATTGCTGAGGTTGACCGGGAACTTGAAATTCTCCTGCCTCAGCCTCCTGAGTTGCTGGGATTACAGATGTGAGCCAATGTGCTATCTTTTATTTGTTTATTTTGAGACAGGGACTTCCTAAATAGCCTTGAACTTGGAATTTTTCTGCTTCAATCTCTTCAATCTTTCGAGCTGTTAGCTTATAGGTGTGTGCCCAGCAAGATGCCTAATTTTCAGACCCCATTGCAAAATGAAAATGTGGGGTCATTTAGCTCCAAATTAAGAATTTTGAACTGGGCATAGTGGCATATGCCTATAATCCCATGGCTTCTGAGGCTGAGGCAGGAGGATCCTTGAGTTCAGAGCCAGCTTCAGCAACTTAATGAGGCCCTGTCTCTAAACAAAATACAAAAAGGGATGGGGACAAGGCTCAGCAATTAAGAGCCCCTGGGTTCAATCCCTGGTACCAAAAAAAAAAAGAATTTTGAGGCAGTGATAACAGAGAATTAAACCAAACATAGGACCTTTTTAGGTACAATGCTCTGTGCAGCAGCACAGATCAAATGCCTGTGAAACTGGCTTCAAACAGCTTTCTTGAAGAAGTGACATGTAAACTTCTGGGCTGGATGAGAGGGAATAGCCTGTGCATGAACCTACAGTGAATGAGGCTCTGGTGTATTTGAGGGTGGAGACCCTCAACCTGGCTGGAGTGGGAAGAGCTACGGCAGGTACTAGTAGGGAAGGGTCCCAGCAGTCTGAGGGAAGGTGAATGGGATGTACAGTCCCCTGGAAGCAGCTTGTCTTGAGAGGAGGTCAGTGAGGTGAATTTTGAGAAGACCAAGGTGAGGGACTAGGAAGTGGGAGCTCTGATGAGGAGGGAGTAGAGATAAGGTGAGGTAGAGGGCTGTGTCTGCCTTCAGACATACTTGGAAAGTGAGGCCCTAGGCTGGGACTAGAGATGGGGGCCCAGGAAGGAGCAGTGGAGGTTGTGTCAGGATGAGAAGGCCCAGATGGTGGAAGCAAGGGCCGTCATGATGGCTGATAAGGCCTAATTGTTGGGTGCAAGCCAGGAAGGAAGAACTTGAGGCTACCTCAAGTGGCCAAGGGGTCCCCAGTCACAGCATCCTGCTCTGTTGATGGCTCTTCCAGCACCCTTCCCATCTTGATAACTGCTCTGGGCCCTGGAAGGTGGGATCCCAGTGGGCATTGTTTGGCAGAGCTGGGTTCAGCGCAGCTGTGTGGGACCTAGATTCTATGTGTGCAAATAAAAACATGTGGAGTACATACTGAGGTTTGGGGGTTGTCCTACCTTTGTATATGAGTTTTCAGTGTTGATCAGAGTTAGGGGGCTTCCAGATGATAGGCTGAGACAGGGCTAGGATTCTAGCCACAGATGCATGTTGGGGCCTTGGAACTCAGACTAGAAATTCTACTTTGCCTGCCAGCTACACAGGTGGGGCTGTCCCTCCTTCTGGGCCAAGTACCATACTGGGCTCAGCAGGGAAGCTGGACAGGTGGTGCTGATTCCTGGGACTGAGACCTGTGGAAGAAGAGGAAGGGAGAGGCTAGGTCCTGAGTTAGATAGGTCTGAAGAAGGGTTTTATTGTGGGGCATCAGGGGGTTGGGTGTCTGTGTTGCTTGGGAAGCCCCTCATCCAGGAGAGGGCTGGGAATTAACCTTGACCCTAGCAGGACACAGAGGAGCTCAATTTACTGAGCATAGACATTGTGGCCCCTGACCTGGGTGTCACTCAAAAAATACAATAACCCTCGGACAGAAGAGTTATTGTATTAATTTTACAGAGGAAAAACTTGAGACTTAGAGAAACTGTGAGGTTTGCCAGAATCATACAGCTGGTAACTGGCAAAGCTGAAACTCCATTCTGTGTCTGAGGGATTCTGAAGTCTAAGTTTGGTCCCACTTCAGGCAGCCATTTTTCCACAAACTGCTATCCCCAGAGGAAGCCTGATGAGGTGTCTTGAGGACAGGCAGGGATTGAGAGGGGTCCTCCAGCTTTTTGTTTCCTTCAGGAATCTTTGACTCTCAAGGAGCCTAACACCCAAGAGTCACTCAGAAGTATTAAAAAAAAAAAGCAACTCAATCTACAGATGTTTCATGAACGAGAAAGGAAGACGGTTAGAGTCACATGATTTTACGATAAAACTGTCTATAAACCTTAGTCATCTCTCTCTCCTGTGAAGTTCCCAGCATAAGCCTGGCACTGAGGAGTTTTGTAAATAATTGACAAGGGCACGTGGGGAAGCAGCAACACTGATGCTGTGCCAGGCAAGCAGCTCCCTCCTGTCAGTCCCAAGGGCCACAGGGCCCAGGCCAGCCAGCATCATTGCCCCCTTTTGCAGAACAGCCACCAAGGCCCAAACTGGCATAGTTCCCATGCCTCCTTGCCCTCTGCCCTCTCCATATGTTAGGCTAAATGCCACCCCCCTCCTGCCCAAACACACGTCTTTGGGAAAGCCCAGGGCTGTGGAGGAGCAGGGAGGCAGGAGGCAAAGGTTGAGGACAGAGGTGAGTCACATCCAAGCTCTGTCCCTGAGGTGCTCATAGTCTTTGGAGATGGCTGAGTCTATGCTGATGACAGTTCAGTGTGGCCTGTGCCTGGTCATAGGCACACAGTCCCTGAGGAAGAGCCCTGGATTCCCAGGAGGCTTAGAGGCAGGGGAGGGGCATCTCAGGGCACAGGAGCCATGAGGAGGAGAGCATGGGGTTTTCTCAGGGAAGGTCTGGATGGTTCATTGAGGCCAATGGTGCAATATTCATTGTAGCCAGACCATGGAGGGGTGGAGCTTGTTTCCAGTGGAACTGGGATGTTAAACCAGGGGCTAGTGGTCAGATGATGGGACAAAGGGATCGAGAGCACAGCTATCAAGGGGGTTGGGAATGAGAGCTAGCCCAGGGTTGGGGCTTGGGGATAGAAGGGATCTTGGGAACAGATAGGACCAGGGATTGCCTGCTGGAGGTGAGGGCAGAAACAAGAGGCGGGCCCAGGTTTGGGGAAGGGCAGATTTAGGTCCACACTCCTCCAGGATCTTAGTCCTCAAGCTACGTTGTTGCTACCACCCCTCCCAGAGAGAGGAGGAACTGAGGCTCAAATTTGGAAGGTCATTTAGGACCCCTCAGCAGGATGAGGAAGAGCTGATCCGAGGTCTTCTGAGTGGCAGTGAAAGGGTCAGACAGTACCTGCTTCCCTCATGAAGAGCTGGAAGGGGATGGCAGGTGATTTGCACTTGTCCAGTCACATCTGGAGCTGGAGGAGGGGTGCCCTCAATGTCCCTTTTCTCTGGCAGAACCAAGGAGAGCATGTACCACTCGCTGACGTATGCCACCATCCTGGAGATGCAGGCCATGATGACGTTTGACCCCCAGGACATCCTGCTTGCCGGCAACATGATGAAGGAAGCACAGTTGCTGTGTCAGAGGTTGGGGCTATGGGGAGGCAGGGACTGGGGTTTGAGGTCCCCCTGTTTGCCATCCTGTCCTATCCTAGTGTCTAGAATGCCACTACTAGTGCTGTTGCTTTTGGCTAAGAGGTTTTGTCCTCAAGTGCTGAGAGCCGTCCCTGCCAGCACTGCAGTAAAGCTTTGTCATCTGCTCTAGTTACCAAGCCACTTTCAGGTATCAGTGCTGACTAGGAGAGAAATCTAGCTCTGTCACTTCATAAATCTGACCTTGGCAGGTCCCTCTCTGGACCTAACTTTCCTCATCTACAAAATGGGTGTGATAATATATGATGATGGGTAGTTCTGGAAACTGCATGAGGACATGGGTCACAGGACCTGGTGCATAACTGAATGTGTCCAATCCATATTTGCTGTATAAGTGGGCCAATAGACCCTGAGTGCCTGGGCCAGATGTGGTGACCTAGATTATCAAACTGGGGCAGTTTTGTTGCCTGTACCACCAGGCAGGGACACAGACCCAGGGAGTGATTCAGCATGATTCAGGGGGCTCATAGGGTTTTGAGTGTCTAGCCCACGAAGTGAGAAAGACTCCTGGAGAAGGTAATACCTCAGAAGGCCCTGGAGTGTGACCAGGTGCTGGTCAGGGCAGAGGGAAGCAGGACAGGGATTCAGCCAGAAGACAACAGCAGGACAAAGGGGTAGGAAAGTCCTGAATTTGGGGAATGTCAGGAGTTCAGTATCTGGAGAATCCTATACACCTTGGAATTTTCTGGAGCATAGCAAAGAGGGGCAAAGACCTAGGCTGGTCCTCTCTCTTATCCCCACCTAATAACTGGAGGCCTCTTTTTCCTTTTCAGGCATAGGAGAAAGTCTTCTGTGACAGACTCCTTCAGTAACCTGGTGCACCGCCCCACCATGGACCAATTCACAGAAGGTGTGGCATCTGTGCCCAGCCCAGATGGCCCAGCTCCAGACCTGAGGAGTGAGGGGAGGGGCAGTTCTTTTTCCAGTTACCACGGGGGCAGGGCCCTGGGCCTACATGTGGGGCATGGGTGTGTCAGGCCTGGGACCTTTTCAGGAATGGCCTCTGGTAAGGGTGTGAGGAGACCTGCCCACCCAACAGCATGCCTGGCTGAGAACCTGGACTGAGGAAAGGGAGACTCATGGGGACCAAAGGGTGCTTAGAATGGAGTGTCGATCAGGTGCACTGATGTACTTGCCTTAGTGACACCGTGTGCCCCAGAGGGGAAAGTGGTCTTAGGAATTGACACCCCAGGTTTAGACAGATGGCAGCAGCAGCAGAAGAGTTGATCTGGGCTGTTGTAGACCAGGTGGCATCTTTAGGCCATGACATTGGGTGACAGTAGCCAACCATAAGTTATTTTGGGGCTTTTCAGCACAGGGACAAATGATCTCACCCACCTGAGAGCACTGGTAGGTTTTAGTATCAAACAATGCATGCAGTGGTGCAGGGTGCAGCGGCATCTGCAGTGACACTTGGGGAAGGAGAATGGTCTGTGCCTATATTTGGGGTGTTAGGGCTGGGAGCCAGTCCAAAGACTAGGGAGAGAGATGTGAGCTAACTTTGGACAGGGTGACTGGGTAGAGGTAGGGGAGGTGCTGACACAGCCTCCCTTTGTTTTGGAAAAAGAGGGGGTTTGAGGATTGGCGCCCCCATCTCCTGGCTGCAGTATTTTGTTTTTTCCCCCACAGAGGAAATCCACGCTGAGGTCTGCTATGCAGAGTGCCTGCTGCAGAGAGCGGCGCTGACATTCCTGCAGGTAGGGACCTCTCCTTTTGCTGGGAGACTGGAAATTTCAGATTAGTTACCATGTCCATGCCAGATGGGTACATAGCACCATGACCCTCCCCTTGTGGTCCAGGTGAGGCCTGAGGCTTAGAGCCCCAGCTCCTGGTCCTGGCCAGCCTCACTGTGGAGGGAATGTGCTCTTCCTCTCCCACCTAGCACAGGTGCTCCCAACCATTCCTGGGGTGTGGCTTCCACCTTTTCATTGCTGCTGCTCCTGTTTATAACCACATGGGGCAACAGGCATTGTCACAGAGCCCTGTCACAAAGCCCACTTTTTTTTTGTTTTGTTTTGTTTTGTTTTAAAGAGAGAGAGAGAGAATTTTTTAATATTTATTTTTTAGTTTTCGGTGGACATAACATCTTTATTTTATTTTATGTGGTGCTGAGGATCAAACCCAGCGCCCCATACATGCCAGGCGAGCGTGTTACCACTTGAGCCACATCCCCAGCCCACAAAGCCTGTTTTACACTTGATTCATCCAGTCAACACTGGTAGCACCTACAGTGCACCAAGCTTTTGCACACAGCAAAGTATGTCCTTTCTCCATACGTCACACACGTCAGTTTGTTTTTATATATGTTTACATTGTTATTTAATCTTCAACTCAGAAGCCAGTGAAGAAGCAATTTAGAGGAGTCATTTTCTCAGGGTCACAGGATTAGCAAACGGCCTCCTTACCACCCCGTGGGATTCATGAGAACTATCACTGCATTATTTTATTAAAAAGCCTGGCTTATAGTTATAACATATTATCAGGATATTTGGAGGGAAGGGATACACATGGGTGCTGTTTGTTATTCTTAGCTCTTTTTTTTTTTTTTTTTTTAATTGTCTTTTGGGACCTTTGGTGATTAGAATTAAATTAATCCTAATCTTTGGTTTAGGACTCACTATAATAATTGCACCATGAAAGGCTTGTTTGTTTGTTTGTTTATACATACTGAGTAATGAACCCAGGGGTGCTTCACTACTTAGCCACATTCCCAGCCCTTTTTACTTTTTATTTTGAGACAGGGTCTCACTAAATTGCTGAGATTGGCCATAAACTTGTGATCATCCTGCTTTAGCTTCCAGAGTCTCTGGGATTACAGGCACGTACCATCACACTTGGATTATTTTATTTATTATATTACTACAAATAATAAACACCTTCAACCCCCAAGAACAGCACTGGTGGAAACTCTTCTTGCCGTCTGGGATCCTGCCACCATCCTGGCTTCCCTCCACAGGGAAGCCACTATCTTCATTTTCCTTCATCCCCCACCTGTTGTTAAAAACAGTTTATCAGCTTCCTGTTCATTTCTGAACAGCACATTGTTATGCTTCAGTGTTTATGAACTTCCCAAGGGCTCAGGCTATGTATTGCTTGCTTTCTTCACTTGTCCTCATGTGGCTGTATGATATTGTCTTGGATGAACATACCCCATTGTGTTTACCCACACTCCTGTTGGGTTGTTTTGGTTCTCAAGCCTGGGCTGGCTCTCAGCATCTCTCCCTTCTGCAGGATGAGAACATGGTGAGCTTCATCAAGGGGGGCATCAAAGTTCGAAACAGCTACCAGACCTACAAGTGAGTGGGGCTTGCCAGCAGGAGGGCTGGGAGGCCTGGGGCCGCGGCATCTACTACCCTGGGCTGCTTTGTAGGAGGCAGAGAGTATTGGCTGGGGGCTGGAAGTTTAGCGTGCTGAGCTCAGGCAGATTTCTGCACCCCCAGTGTCTCAGTGTTCTGAAATAATATCCCCCTGGTTTTCTGGCTGTATCTGTTCCTTTGATCTCCTGAGTGCCTTCTCTGTGGCTGAGCCTATGCTAGGGAAAAATTAGACCCAGATTTCACACAAATATCTTGGTCTAGTGGAGGCAGGGAGACAAACCCAAGAACAGTCATTCGAGGAACAGCAGAATTCATACATATCCATGAAGGCCATGATCCTTTCCCCATGAAGCTTTTCTCAACTCCTTTAGTAGTCAGATTGTACACACACACACACACACACACACATACCCCACCCTTGAGGGCCAGAATCATTTCCATGCTCTGTGGATCCCTGACTTTCAGCTGTGGGCCAGACATAGATTGTGTTTATGAATGAAAGAATGAAGGTACAATCAAGAGCACTTTTACCCAGTATGTCTCCACAGTTCTTTATCTATAATCCATCATCAAATAAAGCTCTGAAAACTCAGTATCCCCCTAAATTTTACATTAAAACTTATTTCCCATGAAAGTGTGAGACTACTTATCTTCACCTTTCCCATGTAGTGTGACTGTTTCCCTGCAGATAAGTGTTGCTCATCAGTGTGACAAGTGTGGCTGGGTTGGAGCACAGGATTCGTCCAAGGAGCCAGACAAGTGCTCTGGCCCCACAGCCTGCCTGTCAGCTGTCAGAATGATGTCTCCAAAACACACCTGGTTAGGTCACCTCTTGCCAACTCCTGAGGCTCCTTCTGCTCTGAGAAGACTCTTGGTCACTATCCAGCCATTCCTGGGAGCTCTTCCGTACCTTCCTTGCCAAATCCTCTCCTCTCCTCTGCCTCAGACATTGGGCCTTCCCCCAGTTCTTCAAATATGCCCAGCTGAGTCCTGCTTCAGGGCATTTGGATATGATGTTTGATCAGAAACACTCTGTACCAGGCTAGCTCCAACTCACCCCTTAGATTTTCTGCTCAAATGTCACCTCCTAGCTAAAGACTTTCTGATTCCCAGATGAGATTGGGCCCAGGGCTTCCCCTCTGAGGTTCTCTTCACTCTTGCAGTGACTTGATGGAGCTGTCCCATAGAAGATGGGTGCTATGGGGCTGTGCTTGGTCGTTTTGTTCCCTACTGTCTTCTAGTGCCTGGAGCTGAGAAGCCTCAGTGGTGCTTGCCAATCAAAAACTCATAAGACATTGATAGTCCAGGAAGGAAGCAGACACTTTATATATATATATATATATATATATATATATATATATATATATATATATATATATATATTTCTTTTTTTAGAGAGAGAGAGAGAGAGAGAGAATTTTTCAATATTTATTTTTTAGTTTTCGGCGGATACAACATCTTTGTTTGTATGTGGTGCTGAGGATCAAACCCGGGCCTCACGCATGCCAGGCGAGCGTGCTACCGCTTGAGCCACATCCCCAGCCCCAAGCACTTTTTTAAAATACTGGGAATTGAACCCAAGGGTGCCAAGGGTGCTTTGTTGCTGAGCTATATCCCTTTTCTTTCTTTCTTCTCTTTCCTCTTCTTTCTTTCTTCTCTTTTCCTTTCTTTCTTTTTTTTTTGAGACAGGGTCGCTAAATTATTGAGGCTGGCCTTGAACTTGCAATCCTCTTCCTCAGCCTCCCAAGTTGCTGGAATTACAGGCATGTGCCATCATGCCTGGCAGCAGGCACATCCTGAGAACCTCTGGCTTAGCCTGGTCTAAGGGATCTTTAGTTGGTGACCAGGAAGAAAAGGTTGGATTCCAACCAAGCAAACTCTTGGAAGATTTCCTGAGGGAGGGGGGTTTCAAGTTAGCCAGTGATTCTCACCTGGTGGTAATTATGTCCCCTGCAGATGTTTGGCAATGTCCCACTGGGGAGAGGATGCTACTGACATCCAGAGGGTGGAGGCTGGAGATGTACTAAACAATGCAAGAGACAGCCCCAACAAAATTAGCTAGCCTACCTAAACTGTCAGATTGAGCAACTCTGTTCTAGTCAGAATGCACAGCATGAACACATGCCTGAAAGACAGGGGCGAGGCATGCTAAGGTCAGTGTGGCTGAAATTCAGGGTGAGGAATGTGTTGTCATGGTGAGAGATGGCTAGAAATTCTTTGAGTATCAGCTCTCTGGATCTCTAGAACTGTGCAAATCCACCACTATGGAGTTAGATCAGGCTAAAGTGTAGTTGACCTTGGGCCCAGCTGGAAGGGACCCCAGCTTCTGCCCCCAGCATGTGACTGAAACAGAGCTTTGCCTGTTTCCACAGGGAGTTGGACAACCTTGTCCAGTCCTCACAGTACTGCAAGGGATCGAGCCACAGGCACTTTGAAGGAGGAGTGAAGCTTGGTGTAGGAGCCTTCAACCTGGTGAGTGGGAGTCACCTCTCCCCATTTCCACAGTGTCTGGGTTCCAGATAAGTCTCCCCTGCATGTCTCTGCCATGTGTGGTCATTATTGAGTGCACCATGCTTGGCTATGTGCCAGGCACCAGGACCCAGAGATAAACCTCACATATCACCAACCTTCAGAGGCTCAGAGCTGGGGTGTGGGTGGAGGGTGCTGGACTCAGCTCCAGAGACTCCATCTGTGCATCTGTGTGTCAAATTGGTGGCTCAAAATTTACCATGGGGGAAATCATTATAGCACTAGAACTTGAAAAATCAGTTATATCAGGGCTTTAATGACAGGGAAAGCAACAGGCCTGGAAATAGCTGGTGACCAGCAGAGGACAGAGAGCCTAGTCCTTTTCCAGGAGAGCTGGGGAAGTTTTTCTGGGAGACAGAATAAGCATCTGGCTGGATCTTGAAGGATCCACGGAGTTTGCAGATTGAGAAGGGTATTCCAGGCAGAGGGGACAGTGTGTGCTCAGACAGGGAGACTTGGAAGCACTGCTCTTAGGAGGTGTTGCTGCTCAGGTCCCTGCCACATAGGACTAGGGACCTTTCCAAAGGCATGTGTGTCAGGGAAGTTAGGGCTCTGCTGTCCAGAAGTCTACTCAAAGAGCAGGCCGTGGGGTGGGGTTCCCTGTCCACACTGGGGTGCCCTCATTGTACCCAGCTGTCTCTATTCCTGCAGACATTGTCCATGCTTCCCACTAGGATCCTGCGGCTCCTGGAGTTTGTGGGGTTTTCAGGAAATAAGGTAAACACTTGCCTTTTAGTGCCTTTGTCCTGCTCCTCCCCAGAACTGAAGCTGGGCTTGATAGGGTGCAGCTGAGGACCTAGGTGCCAGTCCAGGCTCAGCCCCTCTCAGTGTGTGACCCTGGAGAAAGCCCAGATCTCTGAGTCTGCCTTCACTCCATTCTGGTCCTATGGGGCAGTTGATCCCTCCCTGGCCCCTCACATGGAGGAGAGGCTCTGGGGTGAGGGTGGGTGTGAAGGGCAGCCCTGAGGGACCTGGAGTTCTTTTCCCCTCTGATTCTTCCTCACTTCAAGGCTTTAAGCAAGTCCTTCCCTCCAGGACAATTTTCTGGTGCTCCCACCTCATCTGGGAGATACCCAAGGAAGCCATCCTGGGCTTCAGAACATGAGAAGGAACCAGAGAACTTGAGCACCCAGAAGCCTTACTGAGAGCAGGAACTTGAGTTACCTACCAGCCCCCATTGAGGGCTCTCTGGTGGAGGAGGCTGGCGGTGTGGAAGGAGCACTGGCTTGGAAGTCAGGAGCCTCATGCCCTTCCTGCGACCCTGAGCAAGTCCCTGCCTCCCCTGAGTTACTTCTCAGTGAAACAAGGGATCCCTACGGGCTGGATAAGAGTTGCTCAGAGGTGCACTGTCTCTGGCCCTTCCTGACATCTGCCCTGCCCGTGGATCTCCACGGTATTATTTATATATTACTTTTCTCAAAAGTCACTCAATTTTCACTTGAATTTATTTTAATGAAACCATATTACATGAAGTGTATATTATTTGGCTAGAACATTATTATAAAAAAGAACATTATTATAAAAAAATTACGAGGGCCACACAATCTTATGAAATAGTGACCCCCTAACTCAACCTCAGGCTGCTTCTCTTTGTGAGAGGGAATTTAGGGCAAGAGTTTGACACATGCCAGCATGGGTCTGGAGCTTTCTTCTAGATACTATCAGGACGGAGAGAGCCAAGGAGGGAGATTGTTACCTGAGGCTTGGTGATACTGAATGCCTATCTTTGGGCCCTCAAAATTTGGGTTGTCAGCCAGGCACAGTGGTGCACAGCTGTAATCCAGCAACTTGGAAGTCTGAGGCAGGAGCATTGTAAGTTCGAGACCAACCTCAGCAATTTAGTGAGGCCCTAGGGACTTAACAAGACCTTGTCTCAAAATGAAAACAAAAGACAGGGCTGGGGATGTGGCTCAGTGGTTAAACGACCCTAGGTTCAATTCCTGGTACCAAAACAAAAAAGAAAATAAAAAGAAAATAAAAAAGAAAAAGGATTTTTTTTTTTTTTTTGGTTACCATCTGTGGTCCATGACTGGAGGCTTCAAAGGTCCATCCTGTCAGTTTTGCTGATGGCAGGTAGGGTCTCAGGGTGCTGATGAAAGAAAGAGTATGAGAAAGGCCCAGGTAGGATAGGTAACCCTAACCTGCAGCATCCAGCCTAGGCTTTGTCCCAAAGGCAGGGTAGTCATAGAGAGTTTGAGGCAGGTCAGGTTTGTGTTTTAGGAAGGACACAGGAAGGACAATAATGCTGCAGACTACAGACTGAGGGGCAGGGACTACAGGAGGGTCTTGCATTGCTTCTCCCCAAATTAGGCTCTGGAGGCTTCTCCCCCGGGAAGCCTTCCCAGGCACCCGGACTCGTGGCCCCACCTGTGCCCAGACCCTGTGGTTAGGATTTTCCTTTCACCACTCCTCCTCCCAACACGACCAAGCTGCTTGGCTCTCAGAGCCCACCACAAGGCTGACAGTAGATGCATACAGGGAGGAATGGGAAGGGACTATGGGAGAGGTGGGTGACACCCAAGACCCAGGCAACCCTTTATCCTGGCCTTAGCAGCCGTGTCCCCCACCCTGCCCCCAAGGTGGCTGAGGCACTGAGAACGCAACCCTTTGCTCAGAGTCACACAGCCTGGGGGCAGCTGCTGTGGCCTCCAGGTTTCCAAAACAAGCCTAGTGCTGTCTTGCCCCTGCTTCAGCAGTAGAGACTCCCAAGCCCCTGGCTCTCTCTGGGAACCTCAGTCTGTCCTCCTTTCCCCCAGGACTATGGGCTACTCCAGCTGGAGGAGGGCGCCTCAGGACACAGCTTTCGGGCTGTGCTCTGTGTCATGCTGCTGCTGTGCTACCACACCTTCCTTACCTTCGTGCTTGGTAGGAGCCCTATGTGGGGCCCCGGGTCTAGTGGTTTCCAAGGACCAGAGGTTGCAAACTATGTCCAGGCCTGTGGGAAAGGGGGTGGGTTACTGAAACCAGAAATAACAGAGCCACATTGACTATCCTGTGGCCTAGCCTGCTGGCCACTCAGTTCCTTCCAGTGTAACCACATTCCAGCCACAGTTTCCTCATCTGCAAAATTGGCATGATTGTGCCTACCTTGCAGGGAGTGAAGATGCTGTTTCTGTGTTTCTGGACACAAACTTGGCAGATTTTGGCACCTGACTGTTGAGCTCTGTGATGTGCCAGGGTGATATCTGCATTATCTTATTTAATTCTTATGTTGCCTTGAGATAGGAAGAATTATCATCCCTATCTCAGAGAGTGGGAGGTAGAGGCCCTAGGAAGGCCCTGGTAGGCTGCTGGGAAGAATACCAGGAGCCTGTGAAGGTAATGTTTTATGCTCCCCTGGCTACCTCCTCCAGGTACTGGGAATGTCAACATCGAGGAGGCAGAGAAGCTGTTGAAGCCCTACCTGAATCGATACCCCAAGGTGAGCCCACATTCAGCCAAGCCTCCCCAAGCCCATGAGCACACCACGGACCCATACATACCTTATATATGTCATTGCAGGGCGCCATTTTCCTATTCTTTGCTGGGCGGATTGAAGCCATCAAAGGCAACATTGACGCAGTGAGTGTTGGGGGTCTCTTGGGGTCTCCCAGCCCAGCAGGAAGTCAGGCAAACAGAAGCATCCTTAGTGGATAGAGCAGACTTGTAGTGGGGCCCCAAGAGAGGACCCACACAAGTGTAGGGTAGGAGATTCACTTCTAACTAACGCAGTCTGGGAAAATGAAGGAGGACATGGTATCTGTACTGTAGGATTTTTTTTCTTTCCATTTTTTTTTAATGGTGTGTTAGAGTTGTACATAATGATTTGTTGTGCTGTATGATATTCTAGGTGAGGGGGATGCTTAAGGGAGGTGGAGAGTAGGAAAGGCCATTTGTTCAGAGCATGGTGAGGCTGGACCCTAGTGAGTAGAGTGGTATTGCCAGGGGCTGAGGTGAGCCAGGGAGAGTTAGAGATGGGAAGGGTCACAGTACTGGTAGAGACTCCAGCACTAAGTCAAGGCCCACAGCAGATTCTACAGTGTGGAGTGCTGGGGTTTCTAGCTGGCCCTGGTAGGACAAATATCTCAGGCACAGGTAATCTTATAGAGGCTACTGATAGACATTATTTTATCACTGTCATGTTAATTCCTTCCACTTCCTGTTATCCCCTCCAGTGTAGCTCTGTCCTACCTTTTCATTTTGTGACTGAAATCTAGAGTCCCAAAGAGGGGCAGTAATGGGCCCAAGGACATATAAGACTTAGGTGGGTAGAACCAGGACAGAAAGAAGATCTCCTGGCCCCACCCAAGCCTGGCACAGGGCTGGACCACCATGCACTGGAGGAGGTCAGGTCTGCTGTGGAGGTGGAGGTCTCAAAGGGTGCAGAGGGTGGGGCAGGACACACCAGGCTGACGCAGAGGTGTCCACAGGCCATCCGGCGGTTTGAGGAGTGCTGCGAAGCCCAGCAGCACTGGAAGCAGTTTCACCACATGTGCTACTGGGAGCTGATGTGGTGCTTCACCTACAAGGGCCAGTGGAAAATGTCCTATTTCTATGCCGACCTGCTCAGCAAGGAGAACTCCTGGTCCAAGGTGGGTTGACATCCCGTGTCAGGGTACTGGGATGCTCAGGCTGACCCAGACTGGCCATGAGTCCCTAGACCAAAAGCTAACCCCCTGGCTGAACAGATGTGCCAGATGGAATCTAAACAGGACCATACCTTATAGTGGGACCCAGAGTTTGAAGGTACTAAAACCATGAGGAATAGAGAAACTTGGTTTTTTTTTTTTTCTGGTGCTAGGAATTGAACCCAGAGCTTTGCATATGCCAAGTTTGCATTCTGCCACTGAGCTACATTCCCAGAATTATGTCAGTCAAGATTTTTGGTCACAAGGAATAGAAACATGGCTCACATGTCTAGGCAAGTGCTGTCCAATAGAACTGCCTGGCTCTTTCCATTTCCTTCACATCACAACCAATGGAAAAGTTGCCATCTCCATTGAGCACATGGCAGACTCTGAGGCTGACTTTCCTGGCCCACTTAGCTGTTGGTGACAAACCCTGGATTTGAGTCTCTGAGACTCAGGGGCCTCTGCTCTTCCCTCACTGCTCTAGTCCTCCCAGGGAGGCTGGCTTGCCCTGAGACCACTCTGTTGTTGGGGGCTTTCTTGGGCCCAGCCCCTGTGTGCCCACCACACCCATGCCTCATCACCTCCCACTCCGAGTAGAACTAAGCCTCGGGAACCTTTTTGAACTAAAAGTGACTGTGGAAGCCTTCCTGTGCAGTGAGGTGGCAGGTGGGTTCACCCACTTGGGGGAGACGGGGCGTGGGGCATCTACACAGCTGCTTTGAGGAGCAGTAGGAGGGCCAAGTCTCCCAGGTGTCAGGACATCTCTGGCTGTGACAACCAGCTCAGTCCCCAGCTTACTGATTTTTTGGGGGGTCTGTAAGTCCCTATCTATCTATAATACTGTCAGGGGGTTTCCTATAGAAAATGGGGGTTGTAGCACCCTGAGTCCTGGGGCTTATCCATTCCTAATCTTTAGAATGTGGCCACCACAGTGTCAATAAATGTCCTACTCTAGGGATTTGGCCTGTGACCATTGTCATATGTGTCACCTCCTCTACTCAGATTTCTCTCTGCTTGGACCCTTCAAAGGCAACCCTGTGAAGATCTTTGAGTTTCTCCTGTGCTTAGCCTAGGGATTGAGATGGTCAGAAATTTGGTAGTGACATCTATGCACTTAGTAATATAAAGGGGGATGAGAGCAGCTCTGAGGCAGCCCAGAGGACTAGGAAGGCCTCAGGAAGAGGAGCTTTCTGAGCTGAGCCTCGGAGGAGGAGTTAGTGTGGTGGAGTGGAGGAAGTAAGAGGGACAGCAAGAGCAAAGGCTTGGGCCAAGAGGTTCTGTGTTATCAGGACGAGGGCATTGAGGGGTGTGGGGTGTGAGTGCAGGGACACTAGAGAGTCCTTCCTCCTCTGAGCCACTTGCTATAAGCTTTTTTTAAAAAAGAAATTTTTTTTTTTAGTTTTTTGGTGGACATAGTATCTTTATTTTACTTTATGTGGTGCTGAGGATCGAACCCAGTGCCTTATGAATGCTAGACGAGCACTATACCACTGAGCCCAACCCCAGCCAATGATATGTAAGCTTCTTGAAGACAATTACTTTCTGCCTTGCACAGACCCTGTACTGTAATCCAGCAAGGTAAATGTTTGTGGAATCAAAGAGCGAACCGTCAGGTACCTTGGGGAGAAGGGACTCCCAACAGGGGAGGTGGCTGCTATGTTCTACAACATCCCTGGATAACTTGAATGTGTACAACTCTAGGTCACCAAATCCATTCTAGCTCCTGGTAGCATAGTGAGGGCGAGCTGTCTGGGGTGAGTAGAGAAGGCTCTTAGGAGAATGAGACCGACAGAGGAGAGTGGCATACTGGGCAGAGGAACAGTGCAGGCAAAGACCTGGGTGGGTAAGTAGTAATGGAGAAGAAATGGCAGCAGATAAGCCAGAAAAGGAGTTTGGGGCAGGTGGTGAAGGTCTCCAGTGACTTTTGGGGCTTTATGGTAACATCAGGGGTAAGGACAACCCTTGAATGCTAGTGGTTTACAGATTTGTGCATTCTGGGCACCCCCAAGTGCCAGGTCCTGTTCTAGGACAGGAATACAAGAGTGAATAAAGCAAAGACCCTGCTCAAGGCTAACATCCTAGTTGATGTATATACAACTACATATATAGATGTATAATACATCATTATGTTGATCCCCTTCTAATGTATGGGTAGTCAGGGATGCGTGTCAGGGAAGAAACTGGAATGTGTTGAAGGGGCAGGCTTTTCTGTTACTTCAGACGAGGAGCCAGGAGCTGTGGTGCACGCCTGTAATTCTAGTGGCTCTGGAGGCTGAAGCAGGAGGATGGCGAGTTCAAAGCCAGCGTAAGCAACAGTGAGGCGCTAAGCAACTCAATGAGACCCTGTCTCTAAATAAAATACAAAATAGGGCTGGGGATGTGGCTAGTGGTTGAGTTGGCCCTGGGTTCAGTTCCTGATACTGATACCCACCCCCTCAAAAGAAAGGACCTTCAAACAGAGCGAGCTGTGGATGCAGTAGGCTGCAGATAAGGCCTGGTTGGAAAACAGGGAAACACACTATTCTGGGAATAGCTCAAGGCCTGTGGCAGAAGTGTGTGAGTGAGGGGAGATGGTAGGAGATGAAGTAGGAGAGTGGGGAAAACTGAATCTCGTAGTCCATGGTGTGGGTAATGGCTTGCAGGGGAGTAGGAATGGGAGCAGGGAGCACAGGAGACCATGTGGACTAGGAGTACAGCCTGCAGCGGGGAGAGCGTGGGGGGGCTGGTGCGGTGACTGAGGGGTGTCTGTGGGAGCAGGGCCTGTGAGATTCAAGGCTGGACCGGAGGTAAAGTCGCTGGGAACTGGGCGGGGCAAAGGGACAGAGCTAGAGTGCGCTGGGGAACAGGTTTCCACAAGGGGGAACTTCCCATCAGCTTTTTGACGTTGTGAAGGGTTGACTGAGGCGCGGGCTCAGCGTGGCTGCCAGGTGGAAGGCTGCTTTCTGCCTCCTCCAGAGATCAGACTCCAGGATGTCCTGCTCCTATTTCTTTCTTGGCTACTGGCAGGTGTTTTCCTTGGCATCAGCCCCAGGAGCCATGAGCTGTGGTTCAAGGATGGGCCACTTGAGGGCAGCACGCAGCTGGGCAGCACGGAGCCAGGCAGCACCCAACCGGGCGCCTCTCTCATAGACTTCCGGGGGAGGGCGTGCGCAGGCGCGAAGGGATCCAGTTCCGGACTCGGCTGCCACCGGTCTGTATGGCACAGTCCCACCCCCAGTGCTTTGTTCGGGCCACTCTTTGTTGGCTGGAAGGCCCCTTCTTGTGCCTCTGTGAATCTTCAATTCCTTGAATGACCTTCAAGAGTCCATTCCTCAGTCGCTGCATCCTAGAAGCCCTGATGCTCTCGCTGTCTTTGTCTCCATCCCAGCTACTAGTTGCTTGGTCCTTCTCTCCTGCTTCAGGATGGAGGGGATGACTGCTTTGACATAAGATCCTCCAGGATTTAACTCCCAATTCAATTCCTAAAGTTACTTCAGCTTCCTCACTGTCACTTTCTCCCCAGGGGCTTCGGGAGAATGTTGAGCCACAGTGAGATCTGAATGAGGAATTTGTGCCATTCTGGAACAGTGACTGGCAGGAGGGTTACTCACATTTGTCTCTTGATGTCTCACAGGCCACCTACATCTACATGAAGGCCGCTTACCTTAGCATGTTTGGGAAGGAGGACTACAAGCCCTTTGGGGATGATGAAGTGGAGCTATTTAGGTAGGTCCTGCCATCCCACTGTAGACAGACCAACCAGGCTCCTTTCATAGCTGATGAGGGTAGCAGAAAGGGGCCTGGTGAGGTGGCCATCTCCTCCAGCTCTGGGCTTCCTGTCCAGAGAGTGTTCACAGCTTGTCATCTCCTGTCACCCACTATGACGCTGCTGCTGCTGCTGGTCAGAACCCTTTGAATGCCCAGGTTTCCTTTCATAAGTGGTTCTGTAGACTTCATCTACCACTCAGCCTCTTCCATCTGGTCAGTAAAACAGAGGTGGACACTGAGACCTACAGAGGGGCAGGTCCTCCTTCAGCTGAGTTAGCCTGATGCACTCCAGAAGCACAGTACAGAGCCCACCCCACAAATGAAGACCAAACCAACAAGGTTAAATCCAGCCTGTGCCTTTTTTTTTTCCCCCTGTGGTACGAGGGATTGGACTTGAGAGTGCTCTACTACTGAGCTACATCCCCAGCCCTCTTTATTTTTGAGAACAGGATCTCACTAAGTTGCGCGGGCTGGCCTCAAACTTGCAATCCTCCTGCCTCAGGATCCTAAGCCTCCTGTCTCAGATTCCTAAGTGGCTGGGATTACAGGTGTGTGCCACCATGCCTAGCTCAGCCAGTGCCATTTCTTAGCAGTGTCACCTTGGACAGTTTCAGCATCATAAATCTTGCAGGGTTATTGTGTGACAACTAGATAATATATTTAAAGTGCCTGGCCTAGGACCTGGAACCTAGTGAGCAGTCTGCCAAGTGGTGCTGTTTTCATTCTTATCTGTACCACCTGTTTGCCTCCGTAGGCAAAAAGGTTGTTAAAGGAAAGCTCCTTTAGCTGTGGCAGGCTAAAGAAGGGAGTCTAGACTCTTCCTAGGGTCATGGTGAGGTTGGCTGAACCCATTTTGCAGACTTGGAAGTGGGTATAATATGAACTTCCTGGACTACTACTGTCACATACAGCATGTATCACTTATGGAGTGCCTGCTACTATAGCAAACTCCATATCCCTGTCCCATAGAACTCTTCCAGAAGGCCTGTGAGGGTAGGTATCATTAATACTATAGAGATGAGAAAACTGAGGCTCAGAGAGGTTCCTTCCAGCATGCAAGGCATTTGGGGTGGCCTCACTCCTATGTCCAGCTGTTTCTGGAACCTAAATGTCTCAGGCCTGAGGTTGAGGTCATGGCCATACCAAGTGACCATGGCAGAAATTGGAGGGTAGGAGAGCTGGTGGGTGAAGATTCAGATATGGAGGTGTGCTTAGCTGCATACTGCATATTATTCTGCCCTTGGAAACACCTGAGGAGGCTAAAGCTCGAGAAACTGGAATTAATTAAGGCTTTGAGCAGTTTGGTCTAGGTAGGTCCTACCCTTTTTCTGGATGTTGGTCTCCCCTGTGAAACTAGAATTAGATTTCCATTGGGTCCTCCCAGGAAATGGAGCCTGGGAGTAGAAGAGCAATATTAGGATAACACGGGGCAAGCCTAGTAGCATTTGGGTATATTTTTACCTTCACCAGCCACAAACCCTTTGACTAGCCAAAGGAAGTAGCCAGGTGATGAGATAGGGCCTATGAAATAAGACTATAGCCAAAGGCTATTTCAACCTGGAAGGCTCTTAGAGTTACTCTTTTCATACAGATGGAAAAACAGGTCCAGAGAGAGGGACCAAGTAGAGGCTGGGTAGCCTGGGGACCCTCAGTGCTTTCTTGCTTTTTCTCATTTCTTCCCCACCCTCCTTGTCTCTTTCTCAGAGCTGTGCCAGGCCTCAAGCTCAAGATTGCTGGGAAATCTCTACCCACAGAGAAGTTTGCCATCCGGAAGTCCAGGCGCTACCTCTCCCCGAACCCTATCTCATTGCCAATCCCTGCTCTGGTGGGTAGGAAGGTCTGGCTTGATCCTGCCCTTGGGTTTGGGATTGTGAAAATTAGATGAGAGCCACTGCCTGTGGGAAGTACATGAGGAAACTTTCTTGTCTCTGAGCCTGGAGAGGGTTTCACAGTTCACCTGGGATTGAGGGTAGGAACAGAGATGAACTGACCTGGCCCTGAACCTGAGAAAAGTGCTGGTCTTGGAGCATGGGGAGGAGATACCTCAGGGCAGAAAGAGCAGTTCTTAGGCCACAGCCTGGTCCCTAGGCAGAGGCATCAACCTGACTGTCCTCTGTTCCCAGACTATTCCAGTTCTGTCACATGATGATAATAATTGTTGCTCATGCTGGTGCCCCCTTCACTAAACTCATCTTTTTTGAGGGCTGGAGTCTCCAGCCCATGTCTTATTTAACTTTGAACAAAAAGATGAACTTACTTGTCCAGTTTGCTCAGCTAGTAAATTGGAGTTAGAATTTGAATTCAGCAGCATGGCTTCAGAACCTGTATTCTGAGCCACTGTTATAAAGCTAATTCAATGCCTGATTTGAGCTGGCATCAGATAAACTTCCCCTTAGCTAAAAATCATATTGTTATTCAACTAGTAAGGCAGTTAGAAAAGTAGGAACCCTGATTTAGAGACCCGAAGCCAGCTCCACTACTCACTAATGCATACCTTAGGTAGAATTCCTCTTCAATATAAACCTGATAATATGTGTCTTGTCTATTTCCATAGTTAAACACTTTGTAACTTGAAAAGCTCAATATTTATAAAGAATTTTATTTAGAGCCTGAATATTTCTAAATGTTAAAAAATTTTACAATTAAAAATATATAGTAAAGCTGTTATTATTATCAAATGGAGGAAAGGATTATTGTAGGAAGGGCAGAAGATGCAACTTTACTGAAAAGTTAGGGCAGAATTTTCCCAAACTGTAATCTGCAAAACACTATTTATGCAGAAAATAGTTTCAGTGATTAAATACATTGGGAAAGTGAGCCTAAACAAAGTTGATATGTTGTAGACTTTCTTGGAGATTTTTTATGCTGATCTAAATGATAGGTTTCCCAGAAGAAGCTTAAAGATATGTATGATTTTTTTCCCCTTATTTGGGCACAAAACCCCCCTCTTTTTTAATGGGATATTGGCTAACTTGGGACAATAGAACAATTTGAGAAATACTGGTCTAAATTCAAATTCCCTTCCTAGAATATAATAACTGCAACAGTATCTTTCTAGAACTTTATACAAATTACATTCCAATACTTGGTTTGATCGTTTAGGAAATGCTAATCTAAGCTAACAGTTACTTGAATGCAAATTTAATATCCTGAACTTTCTGGAAGTCAAGGCAAAACAACAACAAACAACAACAAAATGGAATCAGGATATGTTTTATAGTCTTCATGATAGTAATGCAATTCTAAAGGAAATGGAATGTGAGTTGCCATTATTGAGCTCATTGGGGAGGACAGGAGAAAAGATGACAGTATTAAATTCTATTATCCCAAAGTACTTGAATAAATTATGGCTCCTCCAATATAAGGAGTCCCTGCTGGATGGAAAAGAGGATTTCTTGTTGGCTAGGACATGGCCTGGTCTTTAGAAATGCCAAGTTTGGACAGAGGTTGGAAGAAGACATAACAGTACCCAGGGAAGCCATAGAAAAGTAGATGAAACATATTGGTAGTTATGAGCAGAATAATGAGGATATTGAATCCTCTGCCCCACTGCCAGTGATAGGGCCTGTTGCATGTTAGGCAAGCGCTCTACCACTGAGCTGTTGTACCCCCTTCCCCAACATTGGGCCATCTTAAATTCCTGACTGGGGTTAAGGTGAGATCTCAATAATATGTGATGAAGTTCCCTCCATACCACTCTCAAGCCCACAACTTTACAGGCTGGGCTGAAACCTGGTTGAGAAATTAGAAGGGATTGTGAGATCCTCTGATCTGAGCTTTCATTTTATAGATGGAAAAACTAAGTCCCCATTTAGGGCAGAAATGTAGGACTGACTTGCCCTATCCCCTGCCCTCAGGAAATGATGTACATCTGGAATGGCTATGCTGTGATTGGGAAGCAGCCGGAACTCACAGATGGGATGCTTGAGATTATTACCAATGCTGAAGAGATGCTGGCAAAGGGCCCAGGTGACTACACTCAGGCCCTTGAACCTGCCAGGCTAGGGCAGGTCTTTACAGTTGAAGATTCCCTCAGCCCAAAATGCTTTTCCTCGCTTCTCTATTCTGGTAACTGTCCTTTTTTCTTTCTAGACTGACCTTAAATGTCAGCTCCTCCAAGTAGCTATCCTTTGTCCCCTTGTCAAGGCCTCTCCTCTAGGCTTCCACAGCCCCTGGGCTTCCTTCTTTCATGCCTGATTCTCTGTATTGTCAGTCTCAGTATCTTTTTTTCCTTCTTAGATGTGAACTCCCCTCCCCCTAGGACAGGGACTGTCTGATTCACTCTTATCCTGGGACCTACAGAGTAGGAGCTCCCCAAGTAATGAAGCAGAAATGACTAAGCCTATATCTTCTTCCCTTACACCCCTGTTCTCAGAGAATGAGTACTCAGCAGATGATCAGTGCTTGGTGAAACTGTTGAAAGGCCTGTGTCTGAAATACCTAGGCCGTATCGAGGAGGCTGAGGAGAATTTCAGGAGCATCTCTGCCAAGTAAGTACCTCTGGCTCCTCCTGCTGGGCCTAGGCCTCCTGGGAAGAATTTTGGGGGCCTCCTCCATCCTCATGTAGCTGATAGCAGCCAACCCCATTCACCCATGTGTACTACTGTCTACTGTGCTGGGTACAGAGAATTCAGACCTAGACCTCCAGGCTCACCAAATCATACAGCCATGTTTCCAGTGAACAGTGCCCTGGTAAAGTTTGTAATTCAGCAGCATGGGAAGCAACATGTTAGAGATGGATATCTATGGATAGCCCAGCCTAGGGCTATGCTGGAGGGAAGCAGAGGATGCCTGGAGGAGGGATCTAAACCTAACTGGAAATGCTAGAAAAGGCTTTCCAGTGCTGATTATTTAAATTGGGAAGTTTATCAGGCAGAGAAAGTAGGTACAGCCTGTGCAAATGCCTGGACACAGGATAAACACCTGAGATTGGGGTAACAGTGGTGAGATCCTTTGCTGCATAAGTGAAGCTATAGAGAGAAAAGGGTATAACATGAAATAAAGAAGGCTGCATGTTCTTTTGCATAAGGCTAAATTATCCTGTAGAGGAGAGCCAGGAAGGATACTGGACAAGGCAGATTTGTGTTTTAAAAGTATGACTCAGGGGCAGCATAGAACATGGGTCAGAGCCAGGAGACTTCCCAGTTTAATAAACCATTCAGCCTGGAGTATGCAGTTGGTATTGAGGCAGGGGATAGGCTAAGTATAGACAGGACACATAGATTGTCAGGAGCCTTAGGGTATAGAACTAGAAGGCTCCCCTGTGGACTCTAACCTTTCTAAGGTTAGGTAGTGGCAACTTTCCCAAATTGGAATGCAGGTCAGGAAATCCTCATATGAAGTTCTTGGGAAGCTACAGAGGAGGACCCGAAGGACACCTCAAGGGCAAAAATTTGTAAGCCATGCCTTCTTCTGTTCTGCAGTGAAAAGAAGATTAAATATGACCATTATTTGATCCCAAATGCCCTATTGGAACTGGCCCTGCTGTTTATGGAGCAAGGCAGAAACGAAGAGGCCATCAAACTCCTGGAGTCAGCCAAGTAAGGCTTGAGTCACCTCCATCTGTCCTTTGCTCACTCTGAGCTCAGGAGCTGGGCAGGGGGAAAGGAGCCCTCAGGAAGCAGTGAGGGAGGCTTCTTGGGGAGGGCACACAGTCCAGAGGCCAATCATGTATCCCTGGGTACCCAGCTCTGCACTATCATAGGAAAACTACTTCCTCAACTTACAAACGAGTAATTGGAATCCCAGAGGAAGTGGGCTACCAAGGACTGGCGTGAGGACCCAGGTCTCCTGCCTTCTAGTCCAGGGATATATCTCCTGAAACCACCCCTTCATGTTTAGGGACCCAACAGGACCAAGAACTGTTCCAAAGGGCATGATACCAGGGTGAGGGGGCACACACCCTCTGGGTATTCCTTCCCTTGGCTAGGACTCCACACTCATATGGATGAGTCAGGGATTTGAGTCTCTAAAACATAACAGGGGAGAAGCTCAAATAGAAAAAAGAAAAAAGACCTCCCAGAGCAGCTTCATGTATCTAATTTTCTGCTCACTTCCAGGCAAAACTACAAGAATTATTCCATGGAGTCAAGGACGCATTTTCGAATCCAGGCAGCCACACTCCAAGCCAAGTCTTCCCTAGAGAATGGCACCAGATCCATAGTCTCATCATTGTCCTTGTAGCTTTGTATAGCATTCCTGGGCTGCAAGATGAACAGAGACAGCTGGACAGAGCTCCTGGAAACATTTCAAAAGATTCCCTCCCCCTACCCTGCCCTGCCTTTGGGGTCCACCGGTGCTCCAGTGGGATGGCACAGCAAGAGTATCCATGCAGAAGCAAAGCTGGCATTTTCACTAGTGTGGCCACAGGCCTTTGCCAAGGGCAGAGCAGATGGAGCCCTCTGCCTGCCCTATCACACATACGGGTACTTGTTTTTCACTGTGATGTTTAAAGAGAATGTATGAACAGTTTACATTTTCCTTAGAAATACAATGATGGGATTATAGTTGGCTTTAAAAACAAAAACCAACCACCTGTAAACCTTTGTTTTCACCCACACTGATGTGGCAGTAAATCTCTTTATAAGATGCCAAAGGCCAAACTGCTTTTTAAGCCTCAGCAAAGACCTTCCTTTCAGAGGACCTAAAGAATATCCAGAGGGTCTGTGACTGAATTTGAGGTTCCTGGAGGTAGGGCACAAATGTCACAGACACCTACTCTCATACTTCATATCCCCCCACTTATTAACTGTCCAACTTAAAAATCAAGCAGGTGTTTTTAGGGAGATGAAGTTTGAGCCCATCTGTAGAAAAATCAGTTTCCACCAGTAGGGAACAGGGATGCCAAGGCCCAGCAGAGGCACCTTGTAACCTTTGTGCGCCAAAACCAGGAACTTTGTGGGAAGTGAGGGAGGTGGTTTTCAGAAACCAGTCTGCATCCTTGCTATATGCCAAACTAAAACCACTGGGAATAATGAAATGAAAATATGTACTTCACTCCAAGGTATGTTTATTTACAGTCAGGTATGTTTATTTACATTCTATTTCTTAGAAATAGAATGATTATTCTTGGCCTGCTGTATTATGTTTTAGGTTTTTCAGTGAAGAGATATTTAAGTAATAAAATTTATACACTTGAAGAGGTCATGCAACATCTATTTCAATAAAATACGTGTTGCTTGAATTCTTGGGCAGGGCAGAAAGTTTTGATTAGAAGCAACATGGCCCATGTCAACTTTTTTAATAAGTTACCAACATTTAAAAAAAGAGAAGATTTTGCAAATGAATCTGGTTTCGGCCTCAACATTGAGCCTCAATTCCCACAAGAGGACAATCAGCTGGAGTTAAGTAGAGACTACTTTAAACACCACTTCTACCTTTCTGGTCCCTAACAGCATTTGAATTTGTAAGCTCTGGGACTGTTAAGTGAGAACTCAAGTTCGGTTACCAACAGTTTTACCGTTCACATTCTAATGTCAGTACATTTCAACATAACTATTTTTTTGAAAAGGAAATCATGTTAATAGTAAAAATATTCATCTGTAAAGAAGTGACTCCCCAGATGCATGAATGCAATTTCTATAAGAATCACAGCCATCTTTTTCAAATTTTCTAGAATTGCTGTTTAGCAAACAGCTGAACATCTGCCAGGGGTTGGGTTAATACTGATATACAATCAACCCTAACCAATACTGAAAGGAATAACTGGTTTTAGCTAAAACACATTCTTACCAGAAAAAAAAAAAAAACAAAAAAAAAACCTCTTCATCCAATAACATCTTTTGCACTCTCAAAAGTGCTGTCAAGAGTATAAACGCTGTGAAAAAAATATGCTGTCCAAGAGAGAGCCAGTCCTTTGCAAGCTCGCTCTTCTCCAAAGCCTGGATGCTGGGAGATCAACCTGTTTTTAGGCTGTTGGACAGGACAAAGTGAGAGGGGTGATTCCTTGATGAGGGTGGTGGACTTTTTTGGTTTCCCTACATATTAGAAGGTTGCCTATGGATACACCAAAGCAGCACTGGTCACAGTATCCTGACAAATTATTTGCAAAATGCAGTTTAAAACAAAATAGGGGGACTGGGATTGTGGCTCAGTGGTAGCTGCCTAACATGTGAGGCACTGGGTTCAATTCTCGGCACCTTATATAAATGAATAAAATAAAGATCCCCAAAGAATTTAAAAAATAAATAGGGCTGGAGGTTGTAGCTCCGTGAAAGAGCACTGGCCAAACATATGTGAAACCTTGGGTTTGATCCCCAGCACCACAAAAAAAAAAAAGAAAGAAAGAAAGAAAGAAATCTCTCCTTGAATTAAGAAGGAAATTATAAAACAAAAACAATTTTTTTCAACATTCCTTTCAGCTGTTTTTTGCTTTAAATTTTTATGGGAGGATTGTTTCCTTTGCCAATATTTGTTACTACTGATTTCCTGTTGGGCTTCATTAATTGGCCTGTGTCACTTTTACCTGTTACCCTGGTTGCAAGCTGACGGATAATCAGTGGGGTTTTACCTCCTCTGTAGCTTCTGAGATAGTCTCCCCTAAAACATCCATGTGAAACAGAGTGAAAACACTTGAGTCTAACAACATATCCAGGGGTCTCTGAAGGTGAAAATCGTGTCATGGGCTTCTTGATATCTCCTTTGAGTCATTTTTGGTCATTAAATCTCTTAATACTGCTGATCTTTCTAAAAGCACATCTGCCCTGCAGAGGCTGCTGATTAGTTTTGGCCTGGAAATTAGAAGATCTAAATTCTAGTCTTAACTTTGCTATTGACAAGGTGACCTTGGAAAAGCCACAGACTCTTTCAAAAATGGCAATTTATATTAGAGTAAGGCTCTGATTCCAACTCAGGGCAAGTCTGTTTCTTAGTTTTCATCTGCAAATAGAGGGACTAGATACACCTCCATATTTTTCTGCTTGTCTTTACAAGCAGTTCAACCAGAAACAAAAGACTCCCTTAAACAGGAGTAGGATGAGGGAGGAGGAGCTCCACAATAGCCAGGACTCCAGAGAACAAGTAATCTTCATTTAGAAAAGGTCTAAATCTTGTGCCACACAGATGAACTCAGTTTTCAGGGAAGTAGCAACTGTGTAACAGGATCTGAACAGGCCCTTGAAAGTATACCTTGGCCTCTCAACTGGTCACAAAGGCCCTCCTGCACCCTGGCAGGGTGGCTTGGCAGTGTGATGGTCTCTATCAGCTCTCCCACGTGTTGGCAGGTTTCCCTATTTCCTTATCTACTGAGTCAAATGGGAGTGTTTCCAAGACAGTTATCGTCATTCACAGCAAAAGCCGCAACCTGACATCAAAGCTAGGTTTTTAAAAGGCCAACATCAACCCAAGACTTGGCTATGGTCCAGGTGGGAGATTCCAGCCTGAGAAGAGTAGAACTAGGAGGTTTTCAGAAAGCAACAGCCTGTGGATTATTAGACCATTTAAGAAAGAAACTAAATCCACTTTTCCCTAGAATTATTCCCAAGTAAATTTAAGAAGATAGGAAGCCAACAATCTTAGCTTGTTGCTTTCAAGTATACCAGTTGTGGCTCTTAAGTATTTTATGTAACTACCCTATCAAGCAGGGACTATTGTTGCCATTTTATAGAATGAGAAAACCGAGACACAACTTACCTAAGATCATGTAGCAGAGAAGATTCAAATTCAGGTAGCTGAACTCAAGAGCCCATACTTTTTAGCCCATGCTAAATTACTGGTCAAGTTGTAAAATTCACTTCACAGCTGGTCTCCCCAATGTACATTGAATCTTGGGCTTATGCCAAAGATGGAGGAGGTACTGGCTAATAACCACTGGAAATCCTTGGTTGGAACATATGGAATATGTTTGTGTCACCTGGTTCCCCTAGGCTATTTGGCATTTTGAGGTAGGAATGTGAATAATCAGAACAAAAACAAAAGGAAGAAACAAATCACTCATAAAATCACTGAGGGATGATAGAGAAAAGGGCATGATCTAATTCCCACTTGGTAGGTAGAGTTCAGTCAATAATTCCAGAGATGGTAAATGAAGCCTGCAAAGATGCAGTCTCAGAGGCCTGAACTGAGGCTTAAGGGGGGAGCAAACTATATTGTAGAAGAGGACTGCTATCAGACTAGAAGTTGGAACATCAAGACAGTGGGATATGTACAAAGCTAATCAGTAACTTTTAAACACTTATGAGTGCTTGGCTGGTCAAAACCATCATATCTGTGGGCCAAGTGATTCATGGGCCATATTTTTATTTTCCTTCTTTTCAGTGCTGAGAATTTAAACCAGGGCCTCATTCATGCTAGGCAAATGCTCTACATACTGAGCAACACCCTAGCCCTGTGAACCAGAATTCTGTCACTCCTGGGCTAGAGTTGATTTACTAGAAATACTCAACCTTTAGACTATGGAGCAGTGGATAAAAGCCGACTGTATTTAAACTTACTTGAACTTCTTTACCCCATGGAGAATCAGTTTATTTTTACATAATAGGGCTTTAATGTCAACTGCTTCATAAGGTTGCATTAGATAAAGTTCATGTAAATAAATCTAGCATAATAAGGCTCCTGATAAGCATTTAAGTATACTGGTCTACACATGCTATGGTGGGTCTGACCTGTGGGGTGACCAAATTAGGGGCTATAGTGCTCCCATTAAGGTTTTTCCGTCTCTTGTCTTTGCTTCTGTATTAGGCTTATTCTCTTGGTTTCTTTGGGTGGCAATTTTCCTAACTCTTGCATAAAAAATGCCAGATAAGGATAATTAGTGTGGCCTGGCTCAAATGTCCACCTTTTGGGCAAGTAGCTCTTAACTCAGCAGTATTAACATTATATGGGGTCTTGTTAGAAATAAATTCTCAAGCTGGGTACAGAGGTGCACAATTGTAATACCAGTGGCTCAGGAGGCTGAGGCAGGAAGATCATGAGTTCAAGGCCAGCCTCAGCAATTTAGTGAGGCCCTAAGCAACTCAATGAGACCCTATCTTTAAATAAAATATAAAAATGGCTGGATGTGGCTCAGTGGTTAAGCACCTCTGGGTTCCATCACCAGTACAAAAAAAAAAAAAAGAAGAAATTCTCTGACCCCAACAGGCCTCTGATCTGTAGGGTTAAGACCCAGTAATTTGAGTTTTAACAAATCCTCCAAATGAATACACTCAAGTTCCTGAGAATGAAAGGGAGTCCTATCTTGGTTATATGTTCAGTGGAGGTTACTTCTAAACACGGGATACTAAACAAAAACATTAAAATCCATTCTTACATAAAATTAAAAATGTCCCTTTTTTCATTAATTGATATACAGGAACTATGATCTGCCACATTCCCAAGTAAAGAGGAGGATGAGGCCAGGTGGGTACAGTTTGAGGTATTGGTAAGAGATGGGGCCTATCAGAAAGCTGCCTGCTTAAAGAGAGAATTGTCTTTGACATTCTCCTTGCCACATCAAAACTCTTCAAGAATTTGCTATTTTCCAATGAGAACATTGTTGGGATGGTAGGTCCCACTCCATTAGAAATGCTCTGATTGCTTAGGACCTCTCTTTTCCCCATTTTCTTTCCCCTAGTTTAATAAAAACCATGTGACAACATACCATCCTGCTTTTTTTAAAAAAAAATTTAGTTGTAGATGGACAATACCTTTAATTTATTTTTATGTGGCGCTGAGACTTGAACCCAGTGCCTCATATGTGCGAGGCAAGCACTCTGCCACTGAGCCACAATCCCAACCCACTATCTTGCTTTTGTGGAGCTTATTCTGATAGGGAAGACATATAGGTACTTAAAGAATTAAGCCATGGAGTAAAATAATGGAATATATTTGGCTCCAAGGGCTAAGAAGCCAGCAATCTGAACAATGTTGAGAGGAGCTACAGAGCAGAAACTATACTGCAAAAAGATGAAACAGGTAAGAGGCATGGCATTTTTAGAAGACACTAAAAGATGATCCATGAAACCAGTGGTAGAGTCCTATGAAATAAAGGGATGCAGAAAGCCAACTCATCCCAGTTAAGGAGTTGAGTTTACTTAAAACAGGAAACTATTAAAATTTTAAACTGAGGAATGACATCTTCTAATCTATTAAAGTTATTTTACTTCCCATGTGCTTTTATAAGGTTAAACATGGATTAAACCTTTAGAACCAATTATTTCTGACT